TAAAATCAATTGTTGTAATTATCAAATCTATTTTTTAAGTCTAATTTTTAAGTCCATGTAGTATTGTTCAAAACAAAATCTGTTATTCGTTCAAAATGTCAGTACCTTCCTTGCCTCTGGTGAACAATATTGAAATTGGAATAAGGTTTGATAGGTTGCTGCTAGAATCCATTGGGAGTAGATAAGTTTTGATGGTGCACAAAAATGATTTTATGTAAAATTAATCAAGGATGAAATAAAGATGGCTCAACACAAGTAAACATAAAGATTAGGTAGTTCGGTCTATGAGACCTACTCCACTGAAAATGGTAACGGTGGCCGAATAATCTTATTACTTTAGAGGTGTAGTGTGGTAAAATGTGTATGTTCCCCCCATGTATAGACGGAGCTTAAAATTTGTAGTCAAGTGAAGTTGGCTCTAAGGGGTTTTGACGGAGGCACCATCCTCATAACAGGGAGCGTGGTGATTCCGTGAAACTCACCTTATCCTCATAACGGGGGAGGTGATATCAAGGTGATTCTTTGAAGCTCGCCCTACCTCGTAACAGGTTTGGTGATATTGCAGACTAGTGATGTGCCCCTAATGACTGCGTACCTATGGATTCCCTCCTCTGGGATGGAAACTCCCACGTGGGCTAGTGACGAACTAGTTTTCTTAAGAAGATGGGCTTTGTCCCAACTAAAACTGCAACTAGGCCATTGTTGGTCTACATTCGTGGTTCGGGCCTAGTATGTAATTCTGGGCCTAATTTAGGTCGGGTAATTATTTGTCCCCTATTCCCAGAGTCCAATGGAACTTGGGGATAAGGCATTAGTAAAAATTCATGGGTATCTTTTTTAGTAGGCCGAGTATGGGCAAGAAAGTGTAGGAGGTGAGAAGTAGAGGGAGAGAGCGAGGGCGAAGGTATAGTGCACTAGCACGAGGGCATGTGCGCTAGCACTAACCCGAGGGCGCCTCGTTGCTGGCGTTAAGTGCAAGGGTGTGCGAGCGATGGAGTTGCCGCATCGCGAGGGCATGGGCTATGGCACGAGGACACCGATGCTGGTGTAAGGTATTGGACGCTGGTGTGAGGACGTGAGCGATGGTGCGTGGAAACAGACACTGGCACAAGGTGCGAGGGTGCCTAGCTGGTCATTGGCAATAGTGGAGTATGGGAAAAGCATAAAGATGTGGCAAAACTTTGAACGCCCATAACTTTGCCCTCGATTGCCCGTTTGATGCATTTTTTTTAATTCAGGTATTTTTTTTTTGAGATCTACNAGCTGGTCATTGGCAATAGTGGAGTATGAGAAAAGCATAAAGATGTGGCAAAACTTTGAACGCCCATAACTTTGCCCTCGATTGCCCGTTTGATGCATTTTTTTTAATTAAGGTATTTTTTTTTGAGATCTTCTAGAATCAAACATCCTACAACGATTTGGGTACCGAATTTCCCTAAAAATGACTATTTTCCACTGAATTTGAATTTTAATCACAATTTAGTGAAGAAGTAGAATTTTCATGTGTCATGTTCCATTCGTGGGAAATGACAACCTTTATTCTGAAAGGGGAAAATTATAGTTCTCAAGGTATGATAAGTGAGAGGTAGACACATTTGTGAGGGCCAAATAGCCTGCATAGTAAAATAAACCCTTTGTCTGAGAAACCTGANCAATTTAGTGAAGAAGTAGAATTTTCATGTGTCATGTTCCATTCGTGGGAAATGACAACCTTTATTCTGAAGGGGGAAAATTATAGTTCTCAAGGTATGATAAGTGAGAGGTAGACACATTTGTGAGGGCCAAATAGCATGCATAGTAAAATAAACCCTTTGTCTGAGAAACCTAACTTTATCCTCTTTTAGCAGCAAAACTATTTTAGTAACAATAGCCTTTTTAGCAATAGAACTCTTTTAGTAGCAGAGTTACTTTGGTAACAAGAACTCCTTGATTAGTCCTTTAAATATGGAACTCTTTTAGTAGCAGAGTTACTTTGGTAGCAAAAAATCCTTGATTAGCCTTTTAAATAGGGCATCAAACACTTATCTTAAAGGCTAAAGAGACTCTTCATACACCTTTGGGGTGAAAAGAAAAGAGTGAGATAGGTCAGAGAAGTTAGGAGCCAATTCTAGGGGTCGTGGGCGAGGGCATGAGCAGCGGTTAGGAAGGTGGCGCAATAGACAACGAGGCAACGGTGTCGTGGTAGCAATTCGACACTGGGCACCTCCAGTGAGGGCGCGAGTGGTGGCCAAGCAATAGATGCCATGGGCAGCGAGACAAGCACCAAGTAGAGTAGTAAGTTTGGCGATGCAAAGGAGAGGCAACAGGCTTAGGCATATTGGGCGAGACACAGGTCGGTGCGGCGAGGGTTCTGGGCACCGAGCAATGGGTAATAGGTGGCAGGCACTGGGCATCGTGCATGATTTGGGTGCTAGGCGCCAAGTAGAAAGACGCAAGCACTGGGGTGCTGGGCACTTGGTTTCAAGTTGTAGGCACCAAGGGCACGAGGGTGTTGGGCTCCGGTGGCTTGGGCGGCAGGCAACAGGCATCCGAGGGCTCAGGCGTATGTAGAGCAAGCGAGAGCACATACGAGTCGCTCGAATATGGCGTTGGCGATAAGGCGTTGGAAGGCAAACAGCCTGTGGACTGCGAGGTTGGTGATGATAGAAACAACATTGCCCAACATCCACGACGATGCAAACTTCTTGGCAAAGTAGTGGTTGATGATGATGGGTCTAATGTGAGCATTATTTCTAGTTTTATCAATACTGATGCTAAAATTGCTAGAATCGTCTATACTTTTTGTATTCCCCCTACTGAGTTGTGCCATCTGGCTGAGATGGGTGAATCAGATTTTGATGATTCATTTGAGGACATTGCCATCTATGAAAAGGTGCTAGTGGCAGGCTTGAGACTCCCGATTCCTACGCTTATGTGTCGTATCTTGGTGCAGTAGTCTCTTATGTCAGGGTGATTAGCTCCAAATGGTTGGAGACTATTGTTAGCATTTCTTTCATTGTGGCAACGGGTGCATGGCATGGGAGCCTCTCCTACTTGCGAAGAATTTGTTGCCACCTATATGTTAAAGGAGAACCCCACTCCAAATCAAGGTTGGTATCACTTTTCTCTGAGGGTAGGAAAGTTCATTATTGGACTACACTCCAACTTTCATAGTTGGAAGACTCAAGTCTTATTCCTTAGAGGAGAGTGGGCTATTGAGGAGGATCGCGCTCTAGTTCCAGCAAGTTGGGGTACGCCCACGATANCACCTATATGTTAAAGGAGAACCCCACTCCAAATCAAGGTTGGTATCACTTTTCTCTAAGGGTAGGAAAGTTCATTATTGGACTACACTCCAACTTTCATAGTTGGAAGACTCAAGTCTTATTCCTTATAGGAGAGTGGGCTATTGAGGAGGATCGCGCTCTAGTTCCAGCAAGTTGGGGTACGCCCACGATAATAGGTATGAATCTTTCCCTTTCTTATCTCCATTCAATTGACGTGTTCTTTTACGTCTTTACCATTCATTTAGCTTTTTTCAAGTTTGCCAGCATTGTCAACAAATCAAGGGAAAAGGCTTTAGGCTATGAGAGTCCACCATATTAAGGATTATACGGTTCTTATGCCTAAANGGTATGAATCTTTCCCTTTCTTATCTCCATTCAATTGACGTGTTCTTTTACGTCTTTACCATTCATTTAGCTTTTTTCAAGTTTGCCAGCGTTGTCAACAGATCAGGGGAAAAGGCTTTAGGCTATGAGAGTCCACCATATTAAGGATTATACGGTTCTTATGCCTAAAAAGGGTCAAACCAGAGTTTTCCCCTTAGGAGATGCTTCCACTCCATCTTCTTCACAGGCTCATGACTCTTTTTCTAAGAGGAGAGGTGTGTAAATTTTATGCTGAATATGATGGAATTTTTTACTTCTACAAAAGCCTCCCTTTCCTCAGGTTCCACAGTGAATAGGTCAAGGGTGGAGGCTCTCCACTCTGCTAGGGCTGTACATGCAACTCCTCCACCCAAGAGGGTAAGTTTCGATTATGGCCCCATAGCTTCCCCGGAGGTGCCTCCCCTATCTGTTCCAATTATCAAGGCATCTCCCTTGGCTACGTCGCTAGTCATGGCATCCCATAAACGAGGATTCCTTCTTCTATACAGACCAGAGCACCGCCTATTTTTCTAGCGTCCAGCAATGGTACAGTGTCCATGTTTTGGGACGTGAATAATGCTAAGGATCGAATCTCAAGTTTTGTGTCGCCCTTAGACAATAAAGAAGTTAGCTATCAGGGTACAATAGTATTATTAACACCATGATAGTGGGCCTAGCCAGGGAAATCATATGCTCTTCTTTTATGTAGAATGTTATTCCTTGTATCCTTTAACGACACTAACCTATTTCTTTTTTTGCATGATTGTAGATGTTAATGGTCACTACGTGTCTTTTTGTGAGGGGCACCTAGTATGAACGTGTATCAATGACTTTNAGACAATAAAGAAGTTAGCTATCAGGGTACAATAGTATTATTAACACCATGATAGTTGGCCTAGCCAGGGAAATCATATGCTCTTCTTTTATGTAGAATGTTATTCCTTGTATCCTCTAACGACACTAACCTATTTCTTTTTTTGCATGTTTGTAGATGTTGATGGTCACTACGTGTCTTTTTGTGAGGGGCACCTAGTATGAACGTGTATCAATGACTATGATGAGAGAGAGGCAGACACTATGGGGTATTGAGGAATAGTTAAGGGTGGCTCACGAGAGAGCTGCACTTTTTGAGGCTAAGTTTTTGGCATCTCATGAGAGAGCGGCTAAGCTGGAGGTTTAAACTGAGGTTACTTATGCAAGAACAGAGGCAAAGCTGTAGTCAACTCATGAGAGCATTGTCAGAGCTGAGGCAAAGCTGCTTGTAGCTCATAAGAGGGCTATCGCAGGAGAGGCAGAGTTGCAAGTAGCTCGTGAGAGGACTACTGTAGCAGCGATAGAGCATCAAGTTGCTCATAAGAAGGCTACCAAAGTAGAGGCTGACTCCCGAGAGGAGGAGGCAGGTTGCAAAGAAGGTTCTTCATGACCTACAAGATAGTGGAGCAGACACTTTCATTGATANGGCTATCGCAGGAGAGGCAGAGTTGCAAGTAGCTCGTGAGAGGACTACTGTAGCAGAGATAGAGCATCAAGTTGCTCATAAGAAGGCTACCAAAGTAGAGGCTGACTCCCGAGAGGTGGAGGCAGGTTGCAAATAAGGTTCTTCATGACGTACAAGATAGTGGAGCAGACACTTTCATTGATAATTATGAGGAGTTTAGGGAGAAAGCTTCAACTACTTTTCCTAGCATAGAGTTTTCGACATTTGTCTCACATGAGGAGCTGAGCAAAGGTAATGATGACGATTAAGTGGATTCTGATGAGAGTGTGTTTGGCAGCAGTGAGGTGGATGATGACAATGAAAGTAGCCAAAATGTTGAAGAGGAAGTTTAAAAGATTGTCTCTCTTTTTTTTTTTGTGTTGTTTGTTTGTTTTAAAAATTTTGTGAAATGAAAATCCAGACAATTTATGCGATGAATCGTCGAGGCTTTATTTGATAACTACTTATGATAAACACTAGTGGGTAGGTGGCCCAAGGTATAAAACAACTAAACAAAATGAAAACAAACTCCTACTACTGGTGGAAATGAAAACACTTGTTCTGCTACCTTTGTCTTGTCGCACTATTTGTAGTACTTCTTCAGGTGTTCAACATTCCGTGGATGGGGCAAAACCTTTACCTCAGAATTTTGGATTTTGTAAGTGCTTAGCGTCACAATATCCGTCACAGTGTACAACCCCTCCCAATTTCCTAGCTTCCCCTCTCGTGAGTCGTTAGTGGCCAGTATTACCTTCTTAAGAACTAAGTCTCTAGATAAGAAGGAGTGAGATTTTACCCTCGAGTTGTAATATTTGGTCATAAAGTGCTTGTACTCCTCATTCCTGACCATGGCCATCTCTCTGTCCTCCCTATCAAATTGAGGTTGACGTAGAGACCTTCTTCATTGGTGTTGGGATCATGGAGTTGTACCCTCAATGAGTGTACCCCAATCTCAATGGGTATAACTGCTTTAGTGCCAAAAGCGAGGGAGAAAAGAGTCTCAGCATGGGTCTCCTGGGTGTTGTCCGATATGCCTACAACACCCTTGAGAGTTCTTCTACCCATAGTCCTCGGGCGTTCTCCTGCCTGGATTTTAGATTGCACAATATGGTTCTTACAATGACCTTAGCTTGTTCGTTTGCTTGGGGATGGGCTAGATTAAAGTGGGGTTATTTGATCTAGAACTAGATGGAAAAAGTATTGAAGCATTTATTGTTGAATTGTTTGGTGTTGTCGTTCACTATGGCATAGGACACTCCAAATTGGCACACCATGTTCTACCAGATGAAGTCATTTACTTTTCTTATCTTTTATCTAATAAATTTTGAGGATGCACAAAAGTGAGTGTATGCAAAATCAATCAAGGATGAAGTAAAAACGGCTCAACACAAGCAAACAAAAAGATTAGGTTGTTTAGTCTGAGTGATCTACTCCACTAAGAATGGTGATGGCAGCTGGAGAATCTTATTACTTCAGAGGTATAGTGTGTGGAGATGTGTGTGATGTCTCCCATGTGTAGGCGGGTCTTGCNTCTAATAAATTTTGAGGATGCACAAAAGTGAGTGTATGCAAAATCAATCAAGGATGAAGTAAAAACAGCTCAACACAAGCAAACAAAAAGATTAGGTTGTTTAGTCTAAGTGATCTACTCCACTAAGAATGGTGATGGCGGCTGGAGAATCTTATTACTTGAGAGGTATAGTGTGTGGAGATATGTGTGATGTCTCCCATGTGTAGGCGGGTCTTACAATTTATAGGCAAGTGAAGTTGGCCCCGAGGGTCTCTGGCGGAGGCACCATCCCCATAGCAAGGAGCGTGGTGATTTTGTGAAGCTTGCCCTATCCTCGTAATAAGTGAGGTGATAACTGGGTGATTCCTTGAAGCTTGCCCTACCTCATAACGAGTGAGGTGATATTGCGAGACTAGTGATGTGGTCCTGATGACTGCATCCCTATGGATTCTCTCCTCTGGGATGGAAACTCCCACGTGCGTTGGTGACGGATTGGGTTTCTCAAGAAGGTGGGCTTTGGCCCAACTAAAATTGTAACTGGGCCTTTGTTGGTCCGCATCTGTGGTCTGGGCCTGGTCTATAATTATGGGCCAAATCTATAATTCTATGCCTAGTTTGGTCCAGGCCCGTCAAGTTTCATCCGGACAGAATAAAAAAACGGTGATATCTATGTCGAATGACAAAAGAGCAAGGACGTAAAGACATCATGTGCGAAAGGNTTCTCAAGAAGGTGGGCTTTGGCCCAACTAAAATTGTAACTGGGCCTTTGTTGGTCTGCATCTGTGGTCTGGGCCTGGTCTATAATTATGGGCCAGATCTATAATTCTATGCCTAGTTTGGTCCAGGCCCGTCAAGTTTCATCCGGACAGAATAGAAAAACGGTGATATCTATGTCGAATGACAAAAGAGCAAGGACGTAAAGACATCATGTGCGAAATGGCCATCACACCC